TGCTTAAAATGTATTAAATGTATTTTCTTCTCTAAAGGCACTGAATACAAAGGTACTATTGTTCGACGAAGCGTGGACCCAGTAAACATTAACGGCTCTGTCGGTATACAAGATATTCGACACATGATCAAGAGATATGTCACATCGATAATCGTTGGATCTGTCTGCCTTACCCCTGGAAAAGTTTGTGTATCAGGGCCCCCCGGTCCTCGCGGTAAACGTGGGCCGAGAGGAACTAAGGGAAGAAAGGGAACGCAGGGTATCATGGGACCTCCAGGTGAACACGGGAAGCAAGGCATGATGGGGGACACTGGACCAGCTGGAATTAAAGGAGAAAAAGGTAAAGGATTTAATGTTTTTGACGCTTTTGCACCCCTTGAAAGGTTTAGCCTTAAATTTTCAAGTTCGTCGTTTGCAATTCGTGTCATTCCTCTCCATCCTTAGCCATCCTTTTTCTTTATGGTTTATAATTATCTCTTTTGTGCTTTTCTATCTAATTAAACTAGCATTTTCAGGTTTCCTTCAATGTAAATGTAATTTTGTACCTGGCCAAAGTACCGTGACTGAGCTCTTTTAACTCTATTAAAGTGCCTATGAAGTAAAAAATGATTCCTGCTTATTTGAAAGGCTTTTCAAAGTAAAGAAGAATGCCGTTTTCCTTTTTGGAATATCTTTTTTCGTTTTAGAGGTATTCACGTTTTTGTATTATGTAAATGAAGAAAATGATGACGTCATAGGTGGTTCCTCTAAAACAGCACAACGCTCAATCGAGAATAACTCTAGAAATATTAAAGCAGTGTTCTTCAAACTTGGCACCAGAAATGTACGTTACAAAAGAAACAGAATGACACCTACTATGTTGTTGCCATGGCAACACTCTTGGCTCCAGTCTCTTTCTGTGAAAAACCAAATATCCTTATTTGCAACCTTTTTAAGTGGGACAGAGGGTCTTGCTAGCAACACACATGGTTCCCATATTGTCTTCACTCTCCCCATTAGATTGGTGGGAGTGGACGATCCTTGTTTACGATAAAATCTGGGAATTTTAGTCTTAATTAAAACAGAGCCAGCGGCATAACTGTTGTCATGACAATGGCACGACGGGTGTCATTATGTTTCTTTTGTGATGTACATTTCTGGTGCCAAGTTTGAAGAACACTGCTTTAATATTTCTAGAGTTATTCTCGATTGAGTGTTGTGGGGTTTTAGTGGAACCACCTATGACGTCATCACTTTCCTTACAAAAACGTAAATATCTCTAAAACGAAAAAAGATATTCCAAAAAGGAAAACGCCATTCTTCTTTCCTTTGAAAAGCTTTTCAAATAAGTAGTATTTATTTTTTAATCACTTTACCAATACATATTTATATAAAAGATAGCTTCCTACGCACCCATTACTTGGTTTGTCTCACATTGCTCCTTCCCCCATTAGCAAACCACATATTGACTGCATAGGAGACTGTAAAAGCTGCCAAACTTTGACATTTTATCAAAAAATTTATTTGGTGACAATTTGGTACTGCGTGTAATTGCACTCGGAACTTGACATTTGTAAGGCAACCTATTCTGACATGCGTGTTTTCCAAATTTAAAAGGCATTATTATTATCATTATTATCATTATCACTATCACTATCACTATCACTATCACTATCACTATCACTATCACTATCACTATCACTA